CGACAACAACGAGGACAAGGACAGATATTAGAATTGACAATATATTTACCTAGCTGGTCTGAAAGTTGTTTACCACGATCTACGGATACCACTCTCTCATCTTCCATGTCACATTTATTTCCTACAAGAATAACTTGAGCATTATCCCATGAGTAAGTCTTGATTTGAGTAGACCTGAAAAAAACAAAAAATTACATTAAACATTTCAAATTTCACAAAACTCCTTTCCTTCACAATTTCAATCAGTCTAATGTATTTTAAGAAATATTCAGAACACCAAACTTCAAGCCACGAAAATGTCATTATTGTCTTATTCGTTTCACTTTAATAAATGTAATTTCATTTCAAATATACAAATGTTTGAATATGTGGCCCAAGGTAACCCAAAAGTCGTATGGATTAGTGTAGTTTCAGCTTTCTCATTGATTCTAGCTGTGACACACTCACCCCAGGGTACAGTAGTTTCAGCTTCCCAATCGAGTCTGACACACTCACCCCAGGGTACAGTAGTTTCAGCCTCTTCATTGAATCTGTGACACACTCACCCCAGGGTACAGTAGTTTCAGCTTTCCCATCAAGTCCGACACTCACCCCAGGGGACAGTAGTTTCAGCTTCCCCATTGGGTCTGTGACACACTCACCCCAGGGTACAGTAGTTTCAGTCTCCCCATTGAGGCTGTGACAACTCACCCTGTGGTATGACTACTAATTGGTGTTCCTAGGTTAGTTTTTACCCAGGAATCTACCAATCACAACAACGCTACCCATCTCAAAAGAACACAGATCAAACTTGACAGGGTGTGACATGCAAACAATTATGATGCAAGCCAGAAACTTTAGATGGTTTCTTGTTATTCAGACTAGTCTTTAGACCATGCCATACATGGGTCCTGCCTCGGAATAAAATCACCGCATTGAATTGAAATTTAACTCAAAACGCTGACCTTTTTGTATATGAACAAAAGACTACTTTTATCACATACATTGTGCAGGAAATTAATAACGACTGATATGGGGAACAACACAAGAATTTGATATGTGTGAGAATTATGACTGCCTTTAAGCCTCATGGTTTTCTGATCCAAAAATAGACACTATTCAGAACAGGATTATAAAAAGTAATCAAGACATAGTAAATATAGAAGGTGTAAATCTACATAATTCATGTATGTAAAATATATGAAAGGCATTAATTGATTTATTGATTGTTGATTAATAATTATGACAGTCCACAAACAATTAAACATTTTTAGTTATTCTGCATATAATAAGCGGGCACATTAAATAATTTTTTTTTTTTAAATACAAGAAGCTTCTAGCTTGGTCAAGCGAACAAGACTCTACTTCAACTTTCGATCTTGAATTTAATCTGATTTAACATTTTTGGAGACGTATAAACCGTGATGAGTAAACACTATGGGTTTACTCGTGATATCAATTAAAATATGAATGTAGCGACATTCTACCCATTCCTTTCACCATTCAATCAAGTTTCATAAATTTAAATAGGCATTGCCATGGCAACTCGAATTGCTGAATTAGTGTGTGATTAACAGCCAACTATTTATTGATCTGGTTTTTCTCCAATTATTCATTATCAAGTTCAGAATGTTTTCTCATCTTGCTTGTACAACGCTAATTCTGATCGGCATACGAATTTAATGGTCTTGATGCAAATTACTGCCAGTGAAGCCATACACTGGCTATGAAGCTTTCACTTTTGAAGACACCGAAGATGAAATACTATTTCAATATTTCAACAACCAATCATATTTACTGTAGTAAACTATGTGACTAGGACTGTGGTTAAATTTTACATAATGTCAACAACAAAAACTGAGACTGAGAATTGGTTATGTGACTTACCAATCTTGAACTGCTTGGAATGATTCTTCGTTAGTGACATCATACATGAGTATAAAACCCATTGCACCTCTGTAATAAGCTGTAGTAATTGTACGATATCTTTCTTGCCCAGCAGTGTCCTGAAATAATAAAAAAAAGACAATTATAATTCTATGTGTCAGTAGCAACTGTCCAATCAGTGAAGGCCTTCTATGTGCCAATGACAACTGCCCAATCAGTAAAGCCCTTCTAAGTGCCAGTGGCAACTGTCCAATCAGTGAATCCCTTCTGTGTGTCAAAAGCAACTGTCCAATCAGAGAATTATGCATCAACAGCAACTGTCTAACCAGTGATGCTCTTTTATTTTTTTTAAACGTTAAATTTAATAGCAACATTTCTTATCTGCTCTAACACATAACAAATAATGAATGAAATTTACAATTGCTAAAAAGAAATTTAATTAGACTATGTAATATTGTGATTTTTGTATTTATTTTCATGGTTGTTCTAATAGAAACCAATTCTTATATCTGTGGATTGATAACTGATAAAATCTTGTGACATTTAAAACCATTGATTGGCAGACAGCAAAAGTTTTCTAAATGTCAGTGTGGTTACATGTATATGCAGATTCAGATTTATACAGATATTGGAATAATAATAAACACCGAATATTTATAATCTGATTTACAGACGTTAAAGGTAGAGTTTCAATGACATTGGATTAAATATTACTAAAATAAGAACGAACATGACTAAAACTTTTGACAGATGCTCTGGCAACCATAAAATGCTGATTGACCAGGGATCACATGTGGCCACAGTCTTCAACTGTGACCTGTCTGATAGTAATTTTGGCTCCAAGGAAGACATAGAATGCTCCATTTTAATATAGAATTATCAAAAACTCCACACCCTGGTAGGGAGAACCCTATCTCCCCCACTTGATGGCACCGTTGAATTGCAGTGCTTCCTCTTGCAGTTTTTTTTGATAAAAGATGCTCAACATTATGGAGAAATCAGTCATTGTTTCTATGGAAATGAGTTCAGTGGGGGGGGGGGGGTTTTCCCTAAAGCAACATATCGAGAATTTGTAGTGCTTTTAATTCTATGTATATTTACCATGTCTTTCTTCATAAACTAATGCAGTAAATACATGTATAATATTGATTGAAAGTCATGAAAAAATAGAGAGAGAAAAATGCTGCTTTTGAAGCAGAAACTACACAAAACCCCATGTGACAGAACACACAACATGAATTCTTATTAAATGATGATTTACCAATTTGTTATGAGTATTTATAATCTAAGCATGAAGTCCGCCGAGTAATCAAATAAGGTACTATCTCCAGATATCACTTGTTCATAGAACTGTTTATATACGAATGACGTTATGGGTTGAATTATCTTGTAGCTATAGGTGAGTGGACTCGGAATGTAATACTGTAATCCCTGAGTGTAAGTTACATATAGGTATACGTCATTAATAAAATAATAGTTTGCTAGTGTAATTCAATGTAGATTAGCTAGTCAGGTATAAATACAATTTGTCATAAGCTTTAGTAATTAATTTTTGTAATATTACTGAGAATGTAGAGCTGAATGATAACACTCCCAACACAAAATAACTTTACCATGACAACAACATTTGATCCAGTTATAATTACTTTACATCATAATTTTTTCATACAACTAATTAATCAGTCAGAGTGGAAATGTCACAAATTTGACTGGATCTATTAGGAGAGGCCGATATATGCCATAGGTACATACACCCCGACTTGTTTGAACACCTCGGTATGTATTTAAATGCGTAGGCAGGTAAGCGGTGAAGCATTATGGTAATTGGATAGACAGTTGTTTCAAAAGCTAATGCACTGTGCTCTGGGACTGTAACCACTGATTGCGAGTTTGCAAAATGCATTACAAATTAATCAGATTTCTTCTCCATGAGATACATTTCAATTTTGTTGGTCTTCAATAACTACAAATGGTTACAGTAGGACTAAAAAAATGACTACTATTTGGCCATCTTGGATACAACAAGTAAATAAAATGGCTACCAGCTGGCCATCTTGGATACAACAAGTAAATAAAATGGCTACCAACTGGCCATCTAGAATACAACAACTAAACATAAACAAAATGGCTACCAACTGGCCATCTTGAATACAACAACTAAACAAAATGGCTACCGGCTGGCCACCTTGAATACAACAACTAAACATAAACAAAATGGCTACCAACTGGCCATTTTGGATACAACCACTAAACAAAATGGCTACCAACTGGCCATCTTGAATACAACAACTAAACAAAATGGCTACTGGCTGGCCATCTTGGATACAACAACTAAACATAAACAAAATGGCTACCAACTGGCCATTTTGGATACAACCACTAAACAAAATGGCTACCAACTGGCCATCTTGAATACAACAATTAAACAAAATGGCTACCGGCTGGCCATCTTAGATACAACAACTAAAAAAATTGGCTACCAACTGGCCATCTTGGATACAACAACTAAACAAAATGGCTACCGGCTGGCCATCTTGGATACAACAACTAAACATAAACAAAATGGCTACCAACTGGCCATCATGGATACAACAACAACAAGAATTAAATTCTTGGTATACCGGTAAGTTACAAATCTGAGAAGAATAATAATTATGTAAATACATAATGACATCCTCACTCTTAAGATGGAAATAATATGGTGAAACAAACCATGTATGGCTTCCCCAATATGCCCCTGTTATATGAATGAATTAACTTGTACATGCAAGAGTTCAGTTAAATATCACTTTACGGTAAAGTAAACACCCACACTAGCTCCTTCACTAAATAACTATCAGTTATTCCTGTGCACACATTCACAGAGCCAAAATTGATTAAAATAAAGCATTACTCAATATTCCTATCGCGCCAGTATGAAATGTTAGCAAATAGCAAAGTTCAAAAAGACAAGGGTTAGTAATTAGGTTTCTATAGTCATCATCATTAATAGTTATTAGTCAGGACAAAATAAGAGCATGCTGTCGGCTGACATAGGAGGACATCCCTAACACATCTACGCATTAAAATACTGACAAACTAAACTTACAAAATTATAAAAATTTACACAATATCTTTATATATCCTCAATTCAATTCATAAATCAGTCAAAATCTTTCTACATATAGCTTGATTATTAATAATGGTTATCTGCCATCGTGTGATAAAAATAGCTCGAACGAGAACACCTTAAGGGGACACCTGACTCATTCTCAGTCGCCTGCATTTACATTGTAACTTAGCAGAGAATGGTAAATGAAAACAACTATAGATAAACAATTAACTGAACAGCCACCGATCAATGGCACCTGTCCTGAGAGTTTGATACATCTGAACAAGAAGCATTCTAAGCTGAGAAACCATGGCACCAAATGCTTGACAAAAAATATCCCATGATTTGCATTTCAAAGGCATGTTTATATGTGATATTGAAACCAAAGTAATGAACGAGTGTATAGAGACAAGTAATAAATCTAATCATAATAAAAAGACCTTGATAATCAATATTCCTTAATCAGAAATTATTTCTGTGTAATAACTCCAGTAAGAGATCAGAAATAATTAAATATAATTTTTTTACAAAATAGTTATTGGATATCAGCTATCTCTGATTATACGACTTTGCCTAGACTCATTATTGTCTCTCACCTTAGGTCTATATATAACACATATTGAGTTGACATGATGGTAGGCAGGACCACAATGTAAACTGCAATGTACTATATGAGTAAAAATATAATAACAGTGTCACAATGACAAGGGTCAGGTGATTTCTGATACACTGGTATTTAAACAAAAATGGGTCCGCGATGGAAACTTACAATAGCCTAACGATCACATGATTAAATCCTTTGATCGTCATCATTTTTCCAAGCGCCAAAAATCTTATTGCACAACACAATTTTGAACATTTTAAAGTATTTTTCAACAATACGTTTTTTTATAATTTTGGATCAGATAACATAAACTTTCAATTCACAAAAATTAAAAAAAACATGCAGGAATGTTTTCATATGAAATGCGACTAAAGTCGATTTAGGCGTTTTTAATTCCACAACCCATTCTTGTCTCCCTTGCCCTTCAATGACACAAACATACTCCCCATAGATATCAAGCTTTTTCTAGAGACAGCAGTAACTGACAGAAACATGAATAAAACCTATTAAGTCGGTGGTTAGATTGACAGGCACTTTGGCGTTATAGATATAAATCATGTTTAAAGTGACACCTGACAGATATTTTTTACAAGAAATACAAATAGATGCATGTTACAGAAAACTGTGCATGTACCAGTGTGTTGATCTCTGTCCACATTACGTATTAAAGTTTGTAACTTATTGACATCACTCTCATTTTGATTCTGATCCTACATTAATTTGTACGAAAAATATGTAAAATGCTTTCACTGTGACTACTTTGAACCTTTAGATATTCACCGTGGCAACAAAATATCATGGAAGCCACTAACACAAAAGATTGAGATCGAGTTAGATTTTTGGTATAGCGAGTGCCGATGTAAAATTTCAGTTGACAATATAGTCTGTGTATCTATCACAAATGAGACCCTTTCCTACACTAATATGGGAGTTCCTTTCCAATATTGGGGGTCTGGGAAGCAGAATTTGAAGTTAACACAATTTCTTGCTACGAGCATGACATGAAATGGTTGTTGCGGTTGTTATCACCATATCACTAAGTTTGAAAGCACACACTGGCAGCCAAACGCGGACACTTTTGAAAACACTTAGAGAAGATAAGATTGAAAAAATAAATTGACACTACCATCAAGCATCTACTAAGCCCAATATATGCGCATAAAATTTAATGAGATTGTTTTGTTATCAAGCTTGTGCCAGCCAGGAATCTTTTTGGCAGCAACTTAAGAGTTAAAGTGATGCCTTATCACTACACAGCAAGTGACTGGATTGATTGACCTACTGATTGCTATGAATATCTGGTAATAATAATAGAGGCAGCCTCAATAAAGTTTAGCAGAAAAACAACAGGAATTCACATGTGTACATTTTTTGTTTAAAGTTAGATAAACTGAAAATAAAGCAAGGTTATGGGTAATTAAATA